CTGTGTATCCAGCATTGAAAGTGGACATTGCAATGCAGAAAGCCTCATCATTAGCTATTGTGATAGCTTGTACATGTACAGACACCAGTCCTACAGGGAAATGGCGGTTGTTCTTCCGTTTGCTAGTGTTTTTCCTCAGCTGGACTGTTTCTTGACATAGTCCTTGATCACTAATGGCATCTCATGTCCTGACTTTTCAAAGGGAAACGAATAGGTATGTGCCGCTAGCCGCAGCACTAGCCGTCGCCCTAGTTAGCCGTTAGCGATCGGTTGTTGCTTATACATTGTAGTCTCTTTGCAAATTCCAGAGTTAACCATCTCACCAAAGCCAAACAAATTAAATTGCTAGAGACATGGATTTGTAGATTCAACTCAGATATGAATTCAGTGTGATACTATAGCGACTAGAGCCAGAGCAAACACAATGTTTTAGTGCTAAACCGCATCGCATTAAATGAGGTGTCAGAAAGTCACACAGCCGTGCAGAAGAATACGATAGTTTGAAGACGGTAACCCATAATGTGCTGTTTACTGCTTCCCGGGAAGGGCTCTTGCAGTACTGAAAACCACCTGTAGTGTATTTTAGAAGTGTTGTCTGCAGTTCGGTCCCGCAGAAATCAAAATATTCTGCAGCCTGAAGCTGCAAAAGTCAATGGTCCAGTTGAACTGCAGTGGAACGAGTCCGTAGACGTGCAGGACATGTACATGTTCTATGTACGGTCAGGGCCAAACCACCATACCTGTCCTCTTGTGTTTGGTCCCAAAGGAGCTGGCCGAGCACTGTCAAACAGCCGCTTTGCTCGTGGTAGAGAGTGTCTTCTCTTTCTTTTCCTCTTTCCAGACATTTTGCCGTTTCCATTAGACGAGCTGCTAGCGCACTCAGAGCAGGAGCTGTGGCAGGAATCCTCATCGCTTGTGGGCGTCGGGGGACTACTTCCTGCCAATGATCTAGTACTCGTCCGTTGATGGGAAGGCAATGTCGAGTTTCCCCCAATTGCAGTACTTCCTAACAAACAAAGTAAACATCACAAAAGGTGAGCCCAATTTACCCATAGGGATCCAAGGGACAACAAGGACAATACAGCGTGTCATTACTTGTAAAAATGTGTCATGTCAGTACAGTAAAAGTCCGTAAACATGTACGTACTTTAATACCCTTGTATTGAATTTTAAAAAGTGGTTACACCCGTACTAACTTCCGGGCGGGATACTTACTTTCTGGCATGAATCAACTTCCAAACCTGACTTGCGCGTAGTGGTGAGGTCATTTTTTCTCCAGTGCATGCTATGCACTGCATGTGCGAACCCGGTACCGGTATTTATTTCGGGCAGTATGTCTATCGGGCTTAACTTGACTTCAACAGACGGAGTCAAGAGAATGAAAGGGGTATTGATTTCGGGCATGTGCTTATTTTCGGATTTTTACGGAAGTCTAAGAGAGAGAGAGAGAGAGAGAGAGAGAGAGAGAGAGAGAAAGAGAGAGAGAACACCTCATCCCTTGTACATATGTCATGTTCTGATTGAACCACAACATACCCTTATTGATTGCTACTGGTTGTGACTGCAAGCACTTTGCACGATGGGCCTCCACCGACAGGATTATGACGAAACTGCAGGCCTTCAATGGCTGACCATCGCAAAGAAACAGAAGGTCCTTTGGTGCTGGCCAATAGCGGACATCTGCAGGAGAGAAAGTCAAGCCATACACAAATGGTACTATTCATTCTTCAAACCCATGGTTGTGGATTTAATTTTAACCATCATTTTAATGCCAAAGAGCTGCAGATGAACGAACACATACATAAATTACAAAACAATATTGAAATTTTATGGTCAATGTCTGTAGGAACGCCACCCGGCATCAAGGGTCAAGACGCAGATGCAGCTTTGAAAGCGGTAGGAGGTCAGTCGATTTTAGACCCATCACAAAGTGGTCAAAGAGCAAACTTTCCAGTTCGCTGCACCCATGTTACTCGGTGGCTAGATCACATGCACCCAAAGTAGATATGGATGTGCATGCCATGGGTGTGTCTCACCTGCACCACTCATTTTCACATGTCAAGACTACAGTTGGAAGATCTTACTGCAGTGGTTACATACACGGGTAGAAGACCAGCTGTCCGGCACAAAATGGCTGTAGTGGCAAGCCTCGACATGCCCTTCTCAACGTTGCGTTGATGACACGCTTGAGGTCATAACAAAAGCGACACAGCGTGCATATTCACCGGTACACACAGACACAGTATTGCCACATACACATACACGACGTACACATCACAAACAAGCATGCAGGGAATTTAGTTTATACTGCCAATATTTTTACAGGCCTTCAACTACACCGTGACCACCTCACATACAGTACATACATGCACAATGTACCGGTAGCAGACACATCACACACAGTAGCTAGCTTCATGTACAATGCACCGGAATGCAGCGCATCATGCAAAGTAGCAGCTCCATGTACAATGTTCCAGTATGCTGTATGTGGCCTGGCGCATCATACGGTGTGGCTTCATGTACAATACCATGCAATAGGCAGCACATCACATCACGTAGCCCCATGTAAAATGTATTGGTATGTAGTGCACCAGACATCGGGGCCTATTAATCTGTCACTTACTCAATGTGCCCGACCTTATTGCAAGACTATGTGAACCTCAAGCGTCTGCAACAGCAGTCTACAGATGCTCTGGTGGTCTAGGGGGTTTGCGGCATGCCGGCAGCAGAATTCCGCAAATAGGTACACATTATCTGCACCCTGCGCATGAATATTACAGGGTTGTGCGCAAACCTGCTTCGGGTTCAAGTCTTTGGCGACTACTTAGCAGTTTGCACTGCTTGCCAGCGCAATCTACTGAAACCTATCAGTTGTCGTGAAACGCTGCCGCCGCAGCACTGGATAAAGAAAGTGTAGGCAGTTGTCCAGTCTTGAGGTAATGCGCTCTTGCTTGTTGTTATTGCTATCATGTTGGATGTATCCAATGCCAGCCTCACAATCATCAACAGAGGCTTACAACACACATGTACATCGGCTAAGTAAAAAAAAAAAAAACTTCTTTACGACTGTAATCAAAGCCTAACCTGGATGTCGTATTGGACATCGTCACTGCCGAAGAAATCCAGTAGGCGAGCATCTCTGTGGACACGCCAGCCATAGACAAAAGCAGTGTAGAGGGCCTTTTATGTCTACACTGACACAATATTATTGTCATATGGGCCAGGGACGGTGTTCCGCTGTAGTTTTCTCCTTGATTCAATTCCTAGCTGGATTGACAAACCCAGGGGCCAAGACCCTAAGCATGCAATTTATCCGCGAGTTTCCCTACCTGACAACAATAGTAATCCACGGTAACCAGGAAACCAGAGAGCCTACCCAAACAAGGTCACCGACTCTCCTGACTGTGCGCAGAAGTACAGCTCCAAGAACGACCGTGATACCGTATTTCACCAGTTGTAAGTCCGCCATACATGACTGTTACCTAAATACTGTAGGCTTCATCAGTATGTAATTATTACTGCAGTACAGACTACAGCAGTAAACTACTTGATCCATGCATGCCTCCAGAGAATCAGTCACTGCCCAGCAGTTCCATCCCATATAGACACGCCAGAAATGTGTGGTGTAGGCCTATAGGGCCTAAGGCTGGATCACGGGTACAATCGGCCAATTATTTGGATGATACAATGATGTGGCGTAAGTAGTTCACACACCTAGTACCTACCTTGGCATGCTGCTCCTCAATTTCAACTTGAAGACTGTTTTGCAGAAGACCACCACTCGCGTGTCAGGGTTGGGCAAGCAGAATGGTTTGTTTTTTGTAAGGGCCTCCTCCATTTCCGGCATGCGAACGTTGAGTCATTGACTGTCGATAAAATTATTTCCTCACCAACCCGTTGCCACTTCGGGACACGTCGTCGCTGCTACGACCCGTCACCGTAGGCTGTTTTGAGAGCTGCCAGAACGCACTGCACGGCCGGCTGGAAAGAGATTTCTGCTGTACTGCTGAATAGTTGCTTGCTTAGACCGCGGGAACAAGGCGACAACACGGCTGAGTTCGCCCCTCTGGCCAATTCCGCGACGGGTGTGGATGGTGAAAACCTGCCACGGAATGGTGGTGGAATGCTGTAACTGAAAGCCCTCGGACGCAAGTCAGCTTTTACTTGTTTGCGAAGAAGCACGTATCAGACCAGTTAAGTTGCTGACAAGCGGATCCGGCTACGGTGAAGAAAATAAGAAGCCGAACAGTTCTAGTCTAACGTAGAAAGCAGCATGTAAAGACTCACATTTCGAGTGGAAACATAACTATTAGTATTACTAAGCGTGTCTTTACATTCTTCTTCGCCGTCGCGCGGACTCACTAGACACTACTCACAGTGACAAACTGATTGACCTTGTCCCTGTCCACAGGTCTGTGACCTTTTGACCTTTGCCTTTCGAAAAAGTACTTACGGCATTTTTTTACTACTCCCTTCCCTGTTTCGACTTGTCGTAGATCGATCATGCAGATATATCTACATGTAGCGCCTACGGTCCGGTCCGGTATTTTGTATTTTATTGTAGGAAAACAGAGAAGGCTGTTGATCGAGGGGATCTCGTACTCCAAGCTAAAGATAAGTAAATAGTTCATGTGTTCTGTGCATGTATATAACTATGTGAGCAAGTCATCATCATGACTGTCACGAAATCGTGCCGTTGATCGGTGCAAAATAGCCGGGATAGACCAGTTTCCAGTCCGGGAACTGGAAAATTGTACCTGTTCGCGGCAGTTTTCGGATGTGGCAGATCTACTGCATGCATACAGTCAGTGCGGAGCTAGACTAGTATAGAGGCCGTAGATCTACACGTCGTTGTGCTGCCTGGTGCAGCATGCATGCACAGACTAGACTACACTATTCTACATCATTGTAGACATAATAAATTAATTATTAATGTTAGTTTGCTTGTGAATGACTACTAGTAAACTGCTTGGTATAATGGCTTGGCTTGCTCCCATATGAACTGGCGTTAGACAACTAACTTGTAAAGTTGTCACTTGTAGTGTCCCTACCCTGGTTTAGACCCTCCTTATCCAGGGCCGAAGCCTAGCTAGGCCTGAGGGGGGGGGGGGGGGGGGGGCTCGTTGTAAGATTCATATGTATGGCTATGTAGATCCGCACGGTGTCACGATGAATGTACTCACTAACTCAGTGCACTGTTACATGTACTCAGTGCACTGTTACAATCATGTAGTTGTCTAGGGAAATGCCTTTAGTGAAATAGCAGAAGGTGGATATTTACATGTTCAGTGACCTATACCGGCAGTAACTGTTACACACACACCTGGTCCTGGTCCTGGTAAACACTGCCATTACGGTCACGTGTCCCCTCGCGGGGCCGACAACATGGAAAACGACGCACACACACACACACGCACACGGCACCAAACAATTGAGCGCACTCTCTAGCACACAGGGGAAGCACGACTGTCGACAAGCTCGTCGTCGAGCACTGAAACTTGATGTGTTGCAAAGCTTGATGTGTTATTGACTTATTGTGACCGATAGCTGAAGTGCAACAAGCAGAGGAACCGTGGAAATTGAGGGTGCAGGGGACATGCGTAGAGAAAGAGAAAAGAGGTTAGAATCTATAGTGATAATACGCAGGCCAGTACATCGAGTATGGTGGACACCTAGTGTGATAGCAGACACTCAGTAATTAGTTACCACTGCAACTGTTTTGAAGCACCCTCGCAAACCTTGCTAACCAGTCAATTAATTAACTTGAAGTAAAGGGAACAGCCCCGCGGCATTGCCGGCAAGCCCGAAATCAGCAAAAGCGCTTGGCAATCGTTAGTCATTAGAATTATCACTGGGCATCCATGTTGAACCGACTAGGGTAGACTGTGGGTGTGAAGGTGCACTGGGTCGCAGCGCCCGTGCCCAAACTTCAAACATTAGAACAAGAATGCAGCCGCAGCACTGAGCAGAAAATGAGGGTCAATGGCCTTCGCTGCTCGTTGAGAATGCTGATACAAACAGGTTTGGACGCATGAAGGCACCGCACGATTCAAATCAAGCAGGTGTTGTACCATGTCTTTACTATCACCATCATCGCCGGCGTCTAGACAACGGGACATGTGCTGCTGAGAGTGTCGCGCGCCTGAGCGACGACGTTGATGTCAGCTTCCAGCGTTGCCATGGTGGCACGGTATGTTGTCAGACGCCCGCGCTGCTGTGCAATGAGCGTGGTCAGTGTTGACACCACGTAATCTACTTGAGCATCGCTCAGCTGCGACTGCAGGGCCTCAAACTCGCCAGTCAGCTCCAGCAGCCGGGCGTCAGGCAATGTGCCGATGTTGGCCAGGTCACTCAACAGTACCTGGGCGCGTGTTGAGATGGCCGTGGCTGTTGCGGTTGCATTCTGTATAACCGTTTCCTGTGCCTGTATGGCAGCGTATCCCTGGTCAACAAACGCTGATGTGTCTTCGCAGGCTACCCGGCTCGCATTCGCTGCAGCGCGCTTGTCCTCCACGCCTTGGCGGCCATTGGTGTTCAGGTCTTCGGTGGAGTTCTGGAAGGTCTCCAGGATGCTGCTTGTGGCCGTCAGTGCCTCCATGGCGGTCTGCAGGACACAGACACACACATACATGAACATAGAGCTCTATTCCCACACAGACACGACTGTAGACAAGGGAGACATGCATGCACACGGAACGGTGCATGGCGGGCGCATTCTAACAGCCCGGCATACAATGCAAATGGACTTAAGGCCAAGTAAAAAAAAAAGCTAGATGATCGTCCCCGTCCGCCCCAGTTTTTGTCAGCGCCCCAAGAAATATTTTATTTTTTAAATCGTGAGTTTTTGCCGAAATCGTTGGTTTTTTACCGATCGCGGATGCAGGAAACATGTGCACGCTTTGTTTAATACTTTCTTTACTATATGGACCACATACTACTAGTATATCACAACGTCAGTATCGATCTGCTGAAGAAAGAAAAAGAAAAAAAGAAAAAAAAAGAAAAAAAGAGAAAAAAAACCTTGATGTTGTTGTGTACACTGTGTGCATGAGAGGGTAAAAAGTAAAAAAATAAAAATAAAATCCTCCCGCCCTCCCCGATTTTTCCAAAAAAAAGGACGATCATCTAGTAATTTTTTTTACTCGGCCTAAGAGCCAGCATTTTCACATGGTTCTACACTCCCAGCTTCCGAGATGCACGCAATGCACATGACTGTGAATACAGACGTGTACGACCACCGTACACCTCCAGTGGGGTGCCCCAGAGGACCTGCAGGTGTCTGGTGGGGAGCACGGGGATACTATGAGTGTTGATCAATACTGATCCGCATCCACCACATCTTCTTTAAGGTGGCAGACTACCCAAAAATTCGCTGAAAAATCGAATTTGTAAATTCATATTGAGTGCTACGTCAGTTGAAAGAGCATGAATAGCTGCAAATTCTCTGAAAATTGTGTCCCTATCTGACCAGGCGTTCAAGAGTAATGGCCGAAAATGTGAAGTCCAAAAAAGTCCGCAAAATCACGTTAAAAAACCACGTATTGGGCTGCACGGCGGCGGGCGAAGCCCGCCGCCGTGCAGCAGGACTTTTGCCAGCACCCTCGTGACGTTGCAGATATGTGGCTTGATTATTGTAGTTGACGTTGATTTAGTGACTTTGGCAAGTTTGAGTCGTGTCAAGAAGTCAGATAGGATTCAGTACTAGGCAGTAGTGAAACGTGAGTGGCAGTCTTTGCCGGTTTCTGAGGGCATCCTGGATTTGGTGTGCAGCGCTGTGGAAATGGCTTGCTGTGGAGGTCCCAGCACTGGATGTTGTATCAAAGGTACGACCTCGTAGCACACCATTAACCTAAAAAATTCAAAAATTGACTTGGGTCTGTGGGAGTCCGCGAGAGAACGCCCACTCGTTCTGTTGTGACAGATTCCAGGGCCACGATGAGGGGCCCTACCCCACCACCCATGGCTGCTTCTGGACTTGTTTTAGGTTTGGGTCCCGCGCACGGACAGAATGGGCACGAAAATGTGAAAAAAATGCAAATGCATTTGTTTGGCTCCTGGTTGGCTCGCACACCGTGGCACTATGCCGGAAATTTGAGTTTTTCCGGCCTGGGAAGCCTGTCAGTGAGGCGCAAGAACTTGTAAATCATGTCCTGAGGGCCAGCATAGTGGCAGAAGTGTGTGGTCAAAATTTCACTCAAATCCACTGAGAAACACCAAAGTTACGGTCAATTGAATGCCATATGAAATTTATGGGTAGGCTGCCCCCTTAAAAGTCACTGGCATCAGGTTCCAGTGGCTACACCTACATAGTTTGGAACTAAACAGTTATGTCCGCAGATTGAGTAGTTTGGAACTACAGTAAAACCTGTGTTTGCCGGGCCCTGCACCAAGCGGAATCCTGTATTGACCGGACACATTTTCCTGCACCGAAGTGCTGTGGATTGAATATGCATTCCTGGATCAAGTGGAATCCTGTCGTGCCGGGACAGCTTCCGCTGCGCCAAGGGCGTCCAGTTAGGGCAGGTTTTACTGGAGCCTTGTTCAAAGTGTTCGGTAGGAGCAGCACATGCTTCTGTCGGTCCACTCAACAGGCGTCAAGCAGATAGCACACACCATGCTAGAAATATGCACCTACACTCACACCTCAGATATCCGGTCCGCGAAGTTACGGGCACTTCTGCCTATTGGGCGCCTCTTGGGCGAGTTAAAGTGGAAATATTACTACTCCTTTGTCACTTTTTGTGGAAATAGTGGCGTCATATGCCAAATCTATGGCCTTTCCCATTCCATCATCCCATCCCAATCAAAATGTGTGCGATTCGGAGTTACGGACATTTCAATGTTATGGGCAGTGCCCGGTCCCGGACCGTCCGGATAAGCAAGGTATGAGTGTACACGCGTGCAGCCTATGCCCATGGCCGGCTGAAAAGGTCCTCACTTACATTGGCCGCAGCCTGGCTTATATTGAGTGCCGTGTTCACAGTTTGCAGGGCCTGCTGGGCGTACAGCAGGGCGTCTGCATGGCTATCGATCAGTGCCTGTGCGGCGTTCTGCAGGACATTGCTGCGATTACGAAGGTCATCGACTTGCTGAAGTGAAGTTTCAACCCTGCTGCGTGCAGCATTAGTCTCAGCTTCGAAGTTGTCCAGAACGTCCCGGGCCGTCGTTGCTGTGCTGATGATGTAGTTGACACGGTCGGAAAAGCCCTGTGCCGTCTGCTGGGCCTGTGCAGCACGTTCATACAGTGCAAACGCATCCGGTTGCAGATCCGTTATTTCACCAGTGAAGTTTGACAGGAGTTCGTAATAGGTCTGCGCGCGTGCACAGTTCTCCTGGATCTGGGCGTCGAGCTCTTGACTGCGATTCATCAGCTCAACAGCGAACTGTGCCTGGGCAACTATGGTTGCGCTATCACCGGACAGATCAAGATTAGGTAGCAGTGCCTGGGCTCTGGTCAGCTGATCCATGGCAAGCATGCTAGCCCTGTAGGCGGCGTCCCGGGCCTGGCCAGCGATTGCCAGCACGTCAGGAGCGTCGGCCGTGTCGTTACGCAGCCGTTCCAGGTTATATTCGGTGGTGCGGCCGGTCGACAAGGCGCTGTTGGCGTACGTGAGTGCGGTGGCTGCCACACTGGCTGCACTCGCCGCGTTGGTCTCCAGCTGCAGGGCAACGGTGCGCAAATCGGCAGCCGTGGTGGCAATGGTTTGCAGGATGCCGGTCAGCGTTGCACGCAGGTCGATGATGTCGTTCAGGAGCGATACTCCTTCGGTCAGCAGTGGCCCGTTGACAAACACCGTGTTGTTGTAGGCATCTCGGACTTCGTCCACAGTCTCATTGATCTGAATCTCAGAACTGAGCACAAGGCCTCTGGCAGCGCCAGCGCTGATACGGATGGGACGCACACGCAGAACGAGATTGGTGACGGACTCGTCAAGGAAGGAGATGTTCTGCTGGAGCTCCATGATCTCACGGCGAATGCGTGGGTCGGTCGTCTCTGCCACGGCCGTATCGTCCAGCAAATCGCACGCTTGCTGAAGCAGAGTGCTAAGGCGCGTCACCACTGGCGGGTCGCTTGTTAGCAGCTCACTTGCCAGGAGATTGTCAATGAGAATGCGCAGCACCTCCAGTCGCATGCGCACGGAAACAACCTTGTCACGCACCTCTCCGTAGCACTCCGGACATTCTGCAAGTGCAACGTAGCAACCAGAGCATGGAAATAGACTGGATATAGAGTAGCCAATACAGGAATACAGGAACAGAATGACACCAGCAACCAGTATGTATACAATTCAGTCTACCGGTGTGGACCAGTGTTGTGCGTCGCTTCAGTGTGATATGATGTGTGGCCCAGGTTGTAGGGTGCAGTGCGCGTCAGTACATACTAGATAGGTATGAACACTCTCACTCTTGTTTGACATGCAAGGACACGTGTGACAGATACTCAGCACTCACCCATACAGCCAACACCCGTCATGAAGAAGTTCTCCTCGCACTGGTCGCATTTGGTGCCGAACGCTCCGTTGCGACAGAAGCAGTCGCCAGTTGTGTTGCAAGTGCCGTTGATCGACCCAGCCACGCTGCAGTTGCAGGCTGATCATCGTGTGGCCAATTGCAAGAAGAACATTACAGTCGAGCAAGCACAGAAAAACAATGAGCGGGAAAACGAGGAGAATGCATGCATGCATGCACTTGTGTAGAAACACAGTGCCCCCCCCCCCCCACACACACACGGTGATCTTCGCTCTCCAGCATGCATATCGAGTTGTTTCACGGCGTTCTATCGCTCTGTCATACGGTACAGCCATGTCAGTTCCAATTCCAGTCAACCCACGCATGTATGGGTTACATGTGTGGGTTACATGATGTCGGCCATGTTGGTTCCACTATGCACATGCCATAGTCACATTCTGAATAATTTTAGTCACATGACAAAGATGTGAAAGCACTCTACACAAAGGACTGGTGTGAATGTTCACATGCACCTACAGCACAGTATTCTTAGTGATTGGTCCGGCTGTGCTCGAAGGGGCATAGTAGAGCCTATAGAGGGGTCTGGGGACATTAAATCAAGCCAAATCGTTCCTTTTGAGGGATTTCCACCCTTTCATGATAAGTATGTACTCAAAAAAAGTGGCCCCAGTAAATAATTATTTCAATACGTGGGTGAATGGGAAGCAAAGAAATCGGCCAGAATATTGGTCTGGCCTAGGCCAGGCCAGCTCTGACTGCCATGCATTGTCATGGGAACGTGGACTTTCATATTTCGTGAGAGTGGCCAGCACATCCTCCTCACCTTCACAGTCGGGGAAGCCACCGACATTGAATTGCGGATTGCACTCGTCGCAGAAACAGCCCTGGATGTTTTCGCGACAGTAGCACATAACCGGGCAGACACCGTTGGTGCGATTACACGCCGTCTGAACAGAGCCAACCATGTTGCACGGGCACGCCGAGCAGCCGCTGCCATTGACAAAGACGACGTGGTCGTCGATGCAGCGGTTACAGGTCCGTCCCACAATGTTCACGTGACAGTCGCATTGGCCGCCGTTCTTGTCGCACACCAGTGAGCGAGATGTTGTCGCGTTGCATTCACATTCTGTGAAAACAACAACAACGAGCAGATCATACAGACACATTAGTCTATTGCCGTTTCTAGATTCTGGATGGGCTTGATCAGGTATTTGTTGTAGCAATGAAGGTGCACACACCATGTTGAAGCAGATTTGGAACCCTAAAGACATAACCTTATTCGTAGGCAGAAGGAACGCTTCTCGCTCTCCTTCACCATAAATCCCAATCCATTGGAGTGATAGGGAGGGATGGAGCAAAGGATGAAGGCTCGTGTAGGTCGCAATGTGGTGGCACGGCACGCGCCTGTTGTACACGTGGCTGCGCGTGTAGCTCTTTGTCGTACATGCGGCTGTGTTTGTATCGTATCTCTTTGTCGTACCTGCTGCTGCGTTTGTGTCTCGTTGTCGTACCTGCTGCTGAACCGTGGTACACGCTGCTGTGCTGTCTTTGTATGCTTTGTACATGCGGCTGCACCGTCTTCTGTCCCTTCCGTATGCACTCTTTCTCGTCTTGTCCCCGTTGTATACGCATTTTCTCGTCTGCCGTCTACAAAAAAAAACTCCCTTCCCGTTCGGGACTGGTTGTATTGCGCATGGGCACCAATTTCGTGTCCACCGGCGCACTTTTCCTCACGTCTTCACAATATTATAATACTATTGTCTTTTCTCGTCTTGTCTCTGTGTCAGTTGTCTCTGTGTCAGTTGTCTCTGTGTCAGTTGTCTCTGTGTCAGTTGTCTCGTCGTCTCCTCGGAGAAGGAACTGAATTATACTCTCTATAAACCAAACAAGTTGGCTTTTTTGTTGTGTAGCGCAGTCACGTTGAGGAGAATAGTTCCTCCCATAAGCTAGATGTAGAAACGTCGCTTCAAGCTGACGACACGCCTATTCAGCAGGCTTGTTTCAGGCGCGTAGCACCGCCGTTGGCGGCGGTGCGGCCAGGGGGGATGTCCCCCCGGATGTTTTTTGAAATTAGGGTGCAAAATCCTGCATTCTGGGCACTTTTGGCATTGTTTTATTATGGTGGTCGTGGTCGGGCGAAAAAGTGGTCCGGCCGGAGCAGCTGCTACGCCCCTGTGTTTGCCGGCAGCTTTCGTCAATGCAGGAATTGAGCCGACGGCAAGCACGGGACAGGGATTACGCTGGACTGCTGACCACTGACAGTAGGCAAGCTGCGGCTTCATCGTGGGAATGCGATGACTCAAGGCCACGGCAATGTCACACAACTACGGTGCGGCTCTTGCCACTCTGGTGTACTGCCATGCTCAGGCCTCGTTTGTCGGAGGTGCTGTCTGCTCAGATGAGTATTCTACCGCGGCTTGTCTTCCTGTTCTTTCATTGTGCTGATCCTACATGCCAGGCTGTAGCCGTGTAGCAAGCATGCTTCATTGTTACTTGTCATGTGTGCTAATAGCCTGTATAGTCTAGCCGCTGTGTTCAGTGTTATCAGCTCAGCGCGGGCATAACCATGGGCTGTTAATTAAGACTGCCATTTTCTGACTTGAGAAGCAAAACTTTGAGAATTCTTCTAGTATTTTGTGTCTTTTTCATGAAGTTGTCTTGTGCTTTTATGGGTTTGGCCTTCTCTTCTCCACCGTCACGCAAGAGCGTTGGCCCTGCTCATTCCACACCGTATGACATGGTACTATGCAAAGCTGTGGATGTTGGTTCAGTGGACCATGTGGATACTCCCCTGATCTACCTGTACAGTACACACCCTCAGTGACTTTGGTGCTTAGCGATGAAGAGGTGCATGCACAGAGTAGTGTGAGTATAAAAAGATAAGTCTTCTTCTTTTTTTTCAATACAGTGAGCACGAGTGAGTGACAGTCCTTATGTTAATCTACTATTGATCTCATGATCGACCAATCATAATCGGTCAATACACATGTATGAAGTATGAACAGCATGGATGAAAGACATTGGGTTTTTCCACAGTGATACACTGCTAAAATGATTGCAAAATATTAATTAAGGCCGATATCAGCGATCTTTGCCGAACCCGCCGATATTACCATGTTTGTGGGTGTGTATGGGCTTATGGGATAATACCATGTCTATGGGTGTTTATAGGCTTATGGGATAATACCATGTCTATGGGTGTTTATAGGCTTATGGGATAATACCATGTCTATGGGTGTTTATGGGTTTTAATAATACCATGTCTATGGGTGTTTATGGGTTTATGGGATAATACCATGTCTATGGGTATTTATGGGTTTATGGGATAATACCATGTCTATGGGTGTTTATGGGATAATACCATGTCTATGGGTGTTTATGGGTTTATGGGATAATACCATGTCTATGGGTTTGCATGCATTATTCTGCTGGGTTAGCCTAGAAAGACCAGAAAGACTAGAAAGACCAGTTTAGAGAAGGTAGGACTCACGTAGGCAGCCATTCTCTGAGAAATCATAGAACTCGTCCTGACACTCATTGCATAGCTCTCGATCTCCTGAGCCGCTGTTCCCAATGCCGAATTGACATCTACAGTCACCCGTGACCACATTGCAATCCTGCTGAGCACTTCCAGTTGAGTTGCACCCGCATGGTGTGCAGCCACTCACGCTGAAGCCGAACGTATTCAGTGCACATTCGTCGCAGCGCTGGTTCACAACGTTTTCTCGGCAGGGGCAAGAGCCATTGACAACATTGCAGATGGAACCACTCGATCCAGTGGGATCACAATTGCAATCTGTATCATTACATACATGTATAGCAATACAATAGTTTAGTTGAGACACATTATGCAGAAAGTGCACAGTTTCACCAAGTATACCCTTTCTAGTAATTAACCTTCATTCCCGTATCTAGAATTCATGATTATTCATCCAATGTCTAATTCCACGGAGGAGCTGTTAAAAGGAGCAAAAAAGCTGCCTGGAGAGCATGGTAATATCAATCAAAGAGTGGAATTGTCCTGCCGGGGTGTGCTGGTGTTGTGAAACCGGCTGTAGCTCTAAGGAGTCAGCCCGGAGTGCAGTGCGGAGTGCAGTGTGGAGTGCAGTGCGGAGTGCAGTGCGGAGTGCAATGTGGAGTGTCTGAAGCTGTTGGGAAACATTACATAATGATAGCACTGTGGCCGTCTATGCTAGTAGGCTGGTGTGAGGACTGTCTGACCAAACACAACACCATGCACTTATGAAGATGAAGTAGCAGGCAGTGCTGGCCGAATACCGTACTCCAAGCATAAGCATACTAGTGATTGTAATACGCCCCGACACAGTAGATTCACACACACACACACAAAGCATAAGCATACTAGTGATTGCAATACGCCGCGACACCGTAGATTCACACACACACACTCAAACAGCACACACCTAAACTATCCTGTGCAGAGCGGCAACATGACCGACGACGGCCCACCCACAGCGGGGTTGGGGTTAAGTGTGGGGCCTGAGGCGGCATCGCACACCAGCTGATCTCAGGGTCTGAAGAGGAGCTCCCGGTTCTTAGCTAAGACAAGTCAGAGAGCCAGCTCACTGCCATTGCACAGTCGCGATGTTCATGAGTACTGCCACAGCACGCTTACCTGGGCAACCGCTGGGGAAATCGTAAAAGCCTGGGGTGCATTCATCACAGCGTCGAGCTCCGAAGTTCTCAAAGCATGGACACTGGCCGTTCGTCTTCTCACAGGTGTTGTTTGCGCTGCCCGCCGGTGAGGACAGTTGACAGTCACAATCTATGCGTCCGTGTGTGTGCGTGTGTGTGTGTGTGTGTGTGTGTGTGTGTGTGTGTGTGTGTGTGTGTGTGTGTGTTGGAACATGCGGTAGAAAGAAACAAGCACAATCATTTTGACAGCACTTCCCACACACAAGCATCTCGCCGTGAACTTTGGTATCAAACTCTGCTCACAGGTCACAGAAAGTGCTAGAGCTTCCAGGGAAAGTGCTAGAGCTTCCAGGGATGCAGTCAAGAAAGTGCTGGAGCTTCCAGGGATGGAGTCAAGAATGCATATGTATATGTACATTTACATGTATGTACGCCCAATTTCTCATATACTCACACAGGAAAGCAGATATGCTCACATAAACGCACCGCATGGACACACACACACACACACACACACACACACACACACACACACACACACACATGCATGCATGCATGCATGCACATGCAGTGCTGCCAAATAATTTTCGCCCAAAATCGGACACCTTTCACCGCCAAGGCTGACCACATGGTGCGAATTTTTCTCCTCGGCAAATGTTTTACAGAGAATTCAAAATATCGCCTAAAACACCATGAAAATTCGCTTCGTTGCCATGGTAACCCCAGAGTTGTCATGAATTTTGTAATGATGAGTGTGGTCGCACACTGACTCTGTACAGACTGTCAGTGTACATGCCATCCAGCCTGATCCAGGCATGTTACTTTGCACTTCCACAGCCAAGCGCTAGCCTTTTTAGAAGCAAATGTACAGTGATGTGTGCCTTCAGTTGCGCTGAAAAGTGAAAGTACAGGACTTCTGCATAGGAAAGTAATGATCTCCGACATTTTGGCTGCTTTTCGGACGTTTCCCTTTTCGGACCGGTTTTCGGAAGAGCCTTCAAAAATCGGACGGTTTGGCAGCACTGCACATGTAACACACATTTAAAGACATGCGTGCGCGGCACAGATCCAGCCGGTGTATTGAGTAACGAGGGTAGCGATGAAGGGCTGATATGATGTTTCATGATGTCAGCGCTGTGTGTGTGTGTGTGTGTGTGTGTGTGTGTGTGTGTGTGTGTGTGTGTGTGTGTGTGTGTGTGTGTGTGTGTGTGTGTGTGTGTGTGTGTGTGTGTGACTGCAGAAATACCAGGACCAGGACCAGTACCAGCAGCAGCAGCATTAATGGCAGCAGCAGTACTATTGGCAGGAGGAGAGTCATGACAATGAAACTCACCCTGACAACCTGCAGAAGTCAGGCCAAAGAAGCCGTCGGCGCACACAGCGCACGTGCGCGAGTTGACGGAGTCCACGCCCATTCTGCACGTGCACTGTCCACTGTCCCGATCGCAGACGTTGTTAACTGATCCCAGTAAGTTGCACATGCACGGCTGACATACACCCAGTGGATTGCTGCTAGTGTCGTTGTAGAAGCCATCCTGGCACAGCTCACAGTTGTCGCCGAATGAGTTGCCACGGCAGTTCATGCAGATACCCGCATCCGTGCACTGCTCGCTGCGCCCATTGCACGGGCACTCTGCATGTGTACAGGAATGGAGAGCACACACACACACACACACACACACACACACACACACACACACACACACACACACACACACACACACACACACACACACACACACACACACACACACACACACACACACACACACACACACACACACACACACACACACACACACACACACACACACACACACACACACACACACACACACACACACACACACACACACACACACACACACACACACACACACACACACACACACACACACACACACACACACACACACACACACACACACACACACACACACACACACACACACACACACACACACACACACACACACACACACACACACACACACACACACACACACACACACACACACACACACACACACACACACACACACACACACACACACACACACACACACACACACACACACACACACACACACACACACACACACACACACACACACACACACACACACACACACACACACACACACACACACACACACACACACACACACACACACACACACACACACACACACACACACACACACACACACACACACACACGTTTCATACAGCTACTGTGACACTGTAACGAAGCTTCAAAGTCACGACATCGCAGCAGCACTTCAAAGTCACGACATCGCAGCAGCACTTCAAAGTCACGACATCACAGCAGGGAAACATACCCAGTTATAAAACGTCTTACTCCCCTCCAGGCAGTCATAGTGGGATGGCCTAAGACCATGATTGAGAAAACAGAGGGTACCAGGTTCAAGTCCTGCTTGGAAGCGGAAGGATTTTATATACACACATACATGTACACGTACGCACACACACATACACACATACATACACATACACATTTGCACATACCTACACACGCACGCACGCGTGCACACACACACATACACATGTACACACACACATACACACACACACGAGCCGCGTGACACACACACACACACACACACACACACTACTAGGCTTACGAGAGCAGCCAAAGCCGGTGACAAAGAAAGATCCTGGCTCGCACTGGTCACACTGCCTTCCAATGGTATTTTCTTCACAAATGCACATTCCATCTCCGACTGCACACGATGTGTTGCCACGAATTGTTCCATCAATGTTGCAGTTACAAGCTGGGGTGAGAACAAAAACAATAAAGAAGTGTGTATGCATTAGCAGGTAGGCACATGAGGGAGGGAGGGGGGGGGGGGGGGTCTTACTGACTGTACCAGAGCAGGGCTGAAGCAAACAGTTGCTAGAGTCCAAGTTCTGCCTTGCAGGAAACGTGAAAAGCCAAGGATAGTACGAATTGCGCCGCAACCAATCAAATCGGAACTTCCAGAGACTCTGCAAAGAGTGAAATGGGACTGCTTCCATGTCATCCACGTTTTCCTTCAGCCAGAAGTACAGTACGAAGTCCAGAAGACTTAGCGTTATCTACTTGGCCTCAGGCTCTGGTCCTGCTGTACACGTTGTCCAGACAACAGCGCCCTCACTGACTGAAAGATCAGAAAACTCTACGCACTGCGAACGCTTGCACACATTTAGAAAATGATCCAAAGAGCAGGAACGATCCTAAACTGAGCACCACCAAGCACTGACCAGTGAGGTTTAATAGCTAGTAACTTACGCTGGCACCCGATCAGGGAGAAGCCGAAGTGATCCGGTGCACACATGTCGCACTGCACACCGATGACGTTGGTGCGGCATGTACACTGCCCGGTGGTCAGTTCGCAGTCCTGGGACACGCTGCCAGTGGGATCGCAGCCACACGGCTCGCAGCCCGGCTCGCCAACATCGAAGCCAAAGGTCTCCGGCGCGCAGACGGTGCACTGGCGATTGATGACGTTCGGATAGCAGCTGCACGTTCCGTTGCTGGGGTCGCAGGTCAAGTTGCTCGAGCCAGTGGGATTGCAAGCACAGTCTGCCAATCAGACGGTCAACCGTAGAGTGAAAACAATGAACTATCTCATACAGGCAACAAACCGTACCATGCAGAAAGTGAGCAGAAAGTGAGCAGAAAGTGAGCAGAAAGTGAGCAGAGCACTGTACAAACATAACAAGCAGGCAGCAGTAGCATTCTGGCACAGCGTGACTCACCCTGGCATCCATTGAGGATGGTGGCGTCTCCAAAGAAGAGTGGCGCACACTGGCCGCACGTGGGTCCGGTCGTATCGCGGATGCAAATCAGGCATTCGCCAGTGGTGCTGTCACAGCTGTTCGGCGCACCGTTGATGGGAGAACCAAAGTGATTGATCATGCACTCTTGGCACTGATCTCCCACTGTGTTGCCCTGGCAATTGTTGCAGCGGAAGCCATCATTAGCAGCTGGGTTTGCCTCGCACGTTGTCGACCATGTGTTGCACATGCATGGCTGGCAGTCGGCCGGTGTGCCACCTGTTGCGTCACCATAGAAACCGTCCAAGCATAACTCGCAGCTCTGGCCGCCTGTGTTGTCCATGCAGTTGATGCATCCGGACATGTTGCACATCTGCGCGTGGCTGTTGCACATGCACGCTACACGTGACAATGACCATGCACACACACACACACACACACACACACACACACACACACACACACACACACACACACACACACACACACACACACACACACACACACACACACACACACACACACACACACACACACACACACACACACACATAAACACACATACACACACACGCACGCACATTCACACACACACACACACAAACACACAAACACACAAACACACACACATAAACATACACACACACACACACACACACACACACACACACACACACACACACACACACACACACATAAACATACATACATACATACATACACACACACACTCGCACTTGTACATAACACAGGATATACTTTCATGTGGGAAAAGCATGTCTTTGTGAGAATCTTTTCTACGTGGACGTCACTCGTTATCCATCGACATTCGCCCATGCACAGCTGTGATGCTACATTACATGACACCACTTGCAACAGTGCATTGTGCGGTTCAAACCCCAGTTGAGGTGCCTATTTTGGGGACCTTTTTTCAAATTTCAAATCCGCGGCACTGCACTGTGTACGATGAAATCTCCAAAGTCACCAAGTACGGGAGCCCACCATAGCCAGAGCTGCTCTCTTTATGAATGGACTGTAGTCACAGACCGGCAACATTAGTGACCAATGGCATTGTGCCACATGTACCAGTCATGATATTTTAGCTGCCTGCACTTGCAGCAATGAATTACACGCCTGCGCCTAAATAGAGCTTACGCTGGCAGCCATCGTCCACGTCGAAGAAGAAGTTGTCCTGGATGCAGTTCTCGCACTTCAGTCCAGTTGATCCAGCAGCACAAGTGCACTGTCCATCGCTAGTGCACAGCATGCTGTTGCCGACAGTGTTCTGAGTCTGGCAGTTACACATGTCACACTGCATGCCTGCACGCGCGCGCGCGCACACACACACACATGCATGCATGCACATACACGCAAAAACACACACACACACACCTTTTGACGTACCTTTTCATGCCCATCGCCAGAGGCGATGATAGCGATGCTATAGCAGAAGCCATCGCAACTTGTGCTGGGATTGCACCATAAACAGCTTGCAAGGCTGATGACTCGACCACTTGCCATTTGTACAGATCCACGAAATCCCGTAGAATCCCGTAGACCCGGTAGGGTGTTCATTGTGTGCTATGCATGCGCATTTGACCTTTTTAGCGTCATAATTCAATGACCAGCAATCGCTTTTCCAGCTTCTTCACTTTGGTTCAAACTGAGAACTAATGACTAGCTAGATCTTTGTCAGAAAAAAGGTTTTCGTATGAAATGCCTTCAGGCCCCATTTCGGCTTAGTGGAAATAGCAGAAAACACAATCATCTGAGAGTCCTGCACATTCAACACCCTACCAGGTCTACGTGATTCTACGGGATTTCGTGGATCTGTACAAATGGCAAGTGGTCCATTGACCACCATTGACCACCATTGACCACCATTGACCACCATTGACCACCACTATTCAGCCTGGTGCATGGTGCTCTACACTACACAGCTATGAAGTGGCTTTTTTTCTGGCCAGTGTATCCCTACTTTTTGATCATTTTTCATTTTTCCTGCATACACATCACACCACGGCCACATACTCCGGCACGCACTGGCTGTTGGTAATCACCCAAGAGAATGAAAGAAAAGTCAGAAGTCAGAGAAAGAGAAGAAAAAAACGTGTGTGACCATAATCGTCGGGAATCGAACCCGCAACCTCTCGATTGGAAATCGCTGCACATACCACTGCACAATGCGGGACACCGGGACCCCCCCCCCCCCCCACACACACACACACTCGTGCATGCATGTACACACATGCGCACACACACACACACGCACACACCGGAAACACGCAAGAACGGTATATTACACGCATGCACCAACATACACGGTATGATACGGTGCATGCACATGGTGATGGACACAACAAAGATCAACAAAGAACATAGATGGACAGCACGTACCTGTAATGCCAGTCATAGATGGATTGCACTCGCAGAAGCCGGTCATGTTGCACTGTGGGTCAACTGCGCCGATCGGATGGCAATTGCATGGTAGACAGCTGCCGTCGTTGTTTGGATTCGGATAGTAGTTGGGCATGCAGTCGATGCACTGGCGGCCCGTTCGTCCCGGGCGGCATTGGCACTCGCCGGACGTGAAGTCACATACCTGCGAAAGTGCTCCAATGGGCGAGCATTCACAATCTAAGAGAGAGAGAGAGAGTGAGAGAGAGAGAGGGGAGAGAGAGAGAGAGAGAGAGAGAGAGAGAGAGAGAGAGAGAGAGAGAGAGAGAGGGAGGGAGGGAGGGAGGGAGGGAGAGCGAGAGAGAGAGAGAGAGAGAGAGAGAGAGAGAGAGAGAGAGAGAGAGAGAGAGAGAGAGAGAGAGAGAGAGAGAGAGAGAGAGAGAGAGGATTTACAACAGTAAGAGCAGAGCAGTACAGGGATAGGATCATAGCATGCGGCCGAGGCAATCGTGCTCGTGGTATTTGACTTTCCAAGATGATTGTTCGCCCTGATAACGGGGCTGGCCTGAAAATGTGATGAAGAGAAGGATACTTTCATAGCACAGAGGCCATTGAGTGTGTTGAGACCGAGCAAGGTACATGTACTTCGAAGTATTTGCAATTCCTCACAATAGGGCGACTGGTAGAGTCATGTGCTACTACATTCAAAGCGGTGTTCAGCCGCAACCGCGGTGCAGCAGCAAACCTGAATGCCAGTGATGAGAGGTGGGAACGCATGGCTCTGTGTCCTTGGCGCCCCGTACTCTCTGAAAGACAAGAGACGGTTCTGGTCATGTGTAGTGTATCCACTCCAAACCCCATGAGATTTCCGTCAAATTTGTCTAAATCGCAACTTGTACTCTTGACCCTGTCTTACTTTCTGGTCCCGTATATCCGTAATTACTCTACTTTAGTTTCTGCTGATCCCGCGCACCTGAAGTTTCCCACGCATGCATGCTCTAGTCGGACAGACTTTAGCGCACGTACCTTGACAGCCGGATGCTATGAGGTTGTAGGTACCAGCTTGGCATTGTGTGCAGGCCCGGCCAACGACATTGTTCACGCATGTGCACTGGCCACCGCAGTCCTCACAGTCCGAGCCGACGCTGTACACAGAACAGCTGCACACTGCACCGCGGAACAGACACAGGATACGCAAGTTGGCAAGCTGGTATCAAAATTGCTAGAACATACACAATGCCAGCGGGCCGAAATGGATCACTGTGAATGGTTGTTTTGCTGAGCTTTTGCCAAATCACCAGCTTACATCTAGTCCAATGTGTGCCCTTGATTCCGGTAAGAATGCTATAATTCTGCTTTTCACTTTCCACTTTCCGCCGTTCTGTAAGATGATCAGTTGGTATTGCTAACGGCTGCCTTGATCCTGTTTGTGTGTTAGCGGCGGTTGAATGGTATACAATTGCCTACTTGAAAGTACACACTGCTGCCCTGCTACATGTACTTGTGGTGACGCGATGCACATACAAATACACACATACATGCACACCCATTCACAGTGCACATGCAAAAACACATACACATACAAATACACATGCACATACATGTACACATATACACACACACACATCCACATGCACAAACACATGCACACATACACACATACACACGTACACATGCACATACACGCATACACACAATGTGCACCCATGTGCCGCCTGTCTAGCTTGACAATAGAACTTGCGGGAAGTGATCGCTCTGAAAGCCACAACAGTAATGTTATGAGGAGTGGCAAGAATCCAGTGTTCAGCCAGAATGATTCTCTGCTAACCCTAGGCCAGCCGTTAACACATGCATGCACATTGACCCTGGACTGACGGACCGACGAACGGACGGACCGGTGGACAGACCGACCAGCCGGCCGACCGACCGACCGAACGGTCGAGTGCTAGTAATTTACACAGCCGCCTGTGGATAGCGACACCATGCTGCATATTAAGAGTCACATAGACAGCACAGACGCGCGCGCACGCTCACATGCTCACACAAGTGAGCGGATGCCCTTACTTCTAGCTCCTTCAAACAGTTCGGCATTTAGACCCTGCTCCAGAGGCTTGCACACTGAAGTCGGTGGCACGAGATCACACGCAGCAGGCGCCGGCGCCGGGTCCACACAGTTGTTGGCAGCAAAGGCCATTAGGAACGGGTCTGTCGCCGGTGAAGCAAAGAGGCTGGATATAGTCGGCCGCAGCACCAGGGAGTCCAAGTAGATGGTGGCGGCCGGATTGACCATGATCTGCACTGTGAATGTATAGGACGGGCACGGTGCAATGGCGCATGCTGCAATCGCAACGGTTCCTAAGTTGGCCGAAGCACAAGCACCGTTGCCAATCAACGGTGCCAGTGCAACAGCACTGCCCACTGGAGACGGGGAGATGTTAGTGATTTGGGCTGTGGCCGACATTGGAGAGCTCATCAGCACGTAACGCATTGAGACAGTGTAGGTGTGCGAACGCATTGGCAGCAGAGAGCCCGGCACAACGAAGTCAAAAGATACAAGGTTGCCGTTAGGAACGGTAACCAGGGCAAAGCCACGGCCCGTCGGCTCGAATGCGCTACTGCCAGGCGGCACGGGAAGCTGCACTGTAGACACACCGGCTTGCTCCTCGGCCTCGGCGCGGATAGCGTCAAAGTCCGGCACGTAGTAGTTTGGCATGAGCACGTCACAGCGCCGGCCAGTGAACCCAGGTCTGCACATGCACTGTCCGCTTGTCATGTCGCACTGGTCACGCGCCACCGATGAGCCAAACTGACAGTCGCACGGTTGGCAGCCGTCCGTAAGCATAGCATCCAGTCCGAAGAAGCCTGGCATGCACTGGTCGCATTGGCGTCCCTCCACGTTTGGCTTGCAGTCGCACTGACCGCCCACACTCATGCACTCCAAACTGCCTCCAACCGTGCCAGCTGCCTCACAGGCACAATCTAAAACAAACATAAACATGAATACACCCAGGAGAACATGGACAAGCTGTTAGACATCCTGCCGTCTCGAGTTACCACATTATCTCCTATGAATGTCCAACATTGTTACGTCTTCGGAAAGCTAGGGATCCTAGCTGTACTACTATTTGAGATGTGTACATGATTGTATTGTACTCATTCTTGATAAAAAATGGTCACGTGCAACACTATAGTTAGGGGGATGCCATACAATACAGGACCAAATGGCACCCTAGGACAGCAGTGAATTCAAAACTATAGTCACATGACACCAATGAGTACACACTGCAAGCACCTGGGGGAAACAAGTACTCTAGTAGTATACTCGTGTCTGAATACCATACTAGTAGGTGATTTTTAAAAATGGTGATGTGTGTGCCACCTATCCCAGTACATACAGTACATGGCGACAGCATTTTCTGAAATTCATATTATACATGTGAGGATGGCAATGAGCAACGGTGGCTTACCTGTACAGCCATCGTCATTGTTCGCATCAAAGTTGAACGACGTGCTGGTACACATTCCACAGTCGCGTCCCATGGTGTTGACCTTGCAGTTACACTGGCCGTTCGGGAATGAACCAATCGCCATCTTGGCACAGTCGCCATTGTCCGTCACGCCTCCCGCGTTGCAGTCGCAAGCTACACGAGGAGAGGACAGGAGAGGGCAAGAGAAGGGAATGAGAACTCGAGAGAAGTGTGGACGGTGAAACTTGAACTGGCCGGAGCTCCCCGAGGTGCAGGCTATGCACCAGCATATAGATTCAACATGGAAGCTCCGAGTGCCTATCCTGTACGAACACAGATGATGCCCGTGATCAACTTACTCTACTGTATAACGAGAGAGCTTGGAAGCTCAGGGCCCTACGCTATGCTTTTTTTGCCTTGATGACCTAGACAAAAAAAAAGCATAGGGATGTTATAAATTCTTTAAAAAATTCCTTTTTTTTTAAGACATAACCTGGGATTCGAACCCGCACTATCGCGCGCCCTGCATGCATCCCCGATACACTTCGCATACATACTAATTCTTCCAAGTTGTTTCACATTGTGATCTTGCATTTGAAAGCCCTATTTGAATATGCATTGTGGCCAGCCGTCTTTGATGGCACGGTACGGTAGGGGATAGGTACGGGACAGGTACGATCGAGGGTAATACGACACCGTCTCCCGTACCGTACCGTACCATCAAACACAGCTGGCCACATACAGCTGCCGGCAAAATTCAAATAGGGCTTTCAAACGCAAGATAATAACGCAAAGCAACTTGGAAGAATGGGTATGAATGCGAAGTGTATGGGGGAATGCATGTAGGGCAATAGTGCGGGTTCGAATCCCAGGATATGCCTGAAAAAAAAGGAGAATTGAAAAATTTATAACATCCTATGTTTTTTTGCCGTCAGATACGGATAGCGCCAGGCGTGACACAAACAAACAAACACACAAACACCAAATTAAAGCTGTGTGGACCCTGGCTAGCGCCAGACGTTACTGAAGTAACGTCTTCTGCATAGCTACGGGAATTAAATAGCACTGGCATACAGCAGCGTTGTGACTACAGCAGCAGCAGCAGCAACAACAAGCTTGAAGAAACCAACGACTAAGACCCTGCAGTGTAGATCATGGCTATGCTTAGAGAGAAAAAGATGTACATGCGTTGCTCTTCTGCGCGGTAGGCATCATACCAAACAGAACTCACCAACAGAGCAAGAAGAGTTCCACCTCACTGTTGTGATCACTGCTGCGGATCGGCAGTGAGTTCATGTCTATACCTACACAATGTCAAGTGCAATTACCTTCTCCGGGATTGTACGCAGAATGCCCAATGACAACCACCACTGTTTTATGCCTGGAAGAATACTGCTCCGATCAGCAGCCACCATGGTTTGACTCGATGATTATCTGCATGCAGGGATTTAACAAACCCTACCGTATGCCGTGGGAGCTCTGGCACGAGCGCACAGCTTTCACTTACGTATGCACACGTCCACTTGGGTCTGCGGCACGCCAGTCTGCGGGTAGAAGAGCTCAGCGCATGTTTCGCACTGCGGCCCGAACGTGTTGTCGCGGCAATTCTGACATTCACCACCCGTGGTGTTCCCCGTTGCTCGGAACCTCTCCTCACTGAACAGACAGCCATCCACATCGGCGTGGTTGTTGCAGTTGCACACTAGCAATCAGTCGCCGGCAGACAAAGCACAAAAAAGAAAGAACATGCGCATGAAAAACTGAATACTGTGGGATTGGGTCTACACCGGCACAGCCACGGGAATACTGGCCTTCAGTCAACACACAGCCGCGGGTCCTGCGGCATGTGCAGCCGCTACATACTCAACATTCACGACTGCCAGGTAGCCAGTAGTTTAATTCAAAACTCTACTCATGGCTAACATACCACTATATCTACTGCACACTGTTTGTGCTAATGCTAACACCAGTACAGTACAGTACACAAATGCATTGCAGTGCAGCTTTACTTATAGTTGACTCAAATGACTGATGGTGGCGGTGGTGGTGGTGAGAAGGAGAGCTTTGTGCCAGATGGTAACTTTGCAGCTTAGAGATAGTGTGTGGGCAGGGCATGTATTTACCTCCATTTGCCAGGTGTGTATTTGCCAGGTGTGTATTTGCCAGGTGTGTATTTGCCACCATAAGTCAAAACACGAATACATGATTGTAATACCTGTGAGGTACTAATTACAATGCTGGTAATATTACAATGCTGGTAATATTACAATGCTGGTAATATTACAATGCTGGTAATATTACAATGCTGGTAATATTACAATGCTGGTAATATTACAATGCTGGTAATATTACAATGCTGGTAATATTTACACTATCGGTTTCAATATTTTTTTGTAGTGTACTGCACCACTGAGTAAGATGGTAAGTGCCACGACCAAGTGCTGGTTCAATCGTTGTGTTTCTAAACACAGTTGCAAAGAGGGTGGTGACGTGGATTGCAGACTTTTGTTCATTTTCTTCTCGCACTACTGCGGTTGTTTTGTGATGATCCCACCGGTGTCATGACACCGTGGCTTTTGCCGCACACACCTACCAAGTACAAGCACAACCAATATTACAAGCAGCCTTAGGTGAGGTGCCTACTCTTGGGAGAGCGGCAAAGGCAATGGATGCAAACTCTGAGTTGTCCGACCAGGAACAACTAGAGTGCTTACTTCTACAGTACTACTAGTGCCACATCCAACTACTACTGTACTACTGTACTAGGCTAGCAAAGAAGTGGCAGACCTCAAGGGATTGATCATAATTTTGCCCCAGTGACATTGAAACTATGTTCCCATCCATTGAAGGGGACTGGTCAAAGCGGAAAGTGTCTCCCACTTATCTCCATGGCCCAAACTGCACAACACTGAATGATTAGTTGCATGCTAGCGATTCAATGTACTTCGTATCTGCTAGATAGCTTGCTGTAGCATGTAAGTTACCGGTAGTTGTAGTACTAGTAGTAGTAGGTCTTGCAGGTGTATCCGTATTCATCGTCTGTGGCCTATGTATTGCGCGCGTAAACTGCTAAACTGGAACTGAGTGGATCGGATCGGATTATCTAGGCTCAGCAAAATTCTCCATTTTCTACGAAGCACGATCGTACCAAGCAGTAAATTCTAGACAGTTTTCCAAAACTACATGATGTATCACAGACCTTGGTGACGACAAAGATGCTTTTGCTTCGAAGTAATAGTTTCTTGGTGGTAGATCTATCATGAACTGCGGTCGGAAGGGGCAGGCACTCTTCCTGCCAGTGGATCACTGACTGACGGAACACCAACGGAGGCCACTTGCCCAAGAGGGATTGATTTCTCTCGCAATATTCAACAAATACGTATGGTCATGCATGCCAGACTCCCGGCTTCCTCCACAAACCATGATACGTGTTCGGTTTGCCAGGAGTGCGCACACTCCACCTGAACTTCCGGTGGAGTGCGCGCATTGTAGATCGACATGTCGCCAGCTGTACTATTCTTGCGCAGTCTTGCACAAAGAATAACACAATCATGCTATTCTGCGTTCACAGCGCTAGCGCTGGCGCAAGACGAGAAATGAAAACGTCGCTCAAAATGAGAAGAAGATCAATTCCGTGTTTCACCCTTTTCCCACAACATCAAGGCTTCATCGAAGTTCAAACTCAAACGTGCTGCATTACTGTACGAAAATTGGTGAAATGAAACGCTGCCAGCAAAATATGCTTACTTTGACACTCGAAAGGGTCGAGAAGACGCGATGGCCGCCACGGTACGTCGACGAACCCAGGCCTGCACACGCCACAGTCCAAGCCGGTTGTGTTATGCTCGCACTGGCAACCGAATCCGATGGCATCGTTGGACACGTTACCCGCCTCGCAGATGCCGCTCGAATGTCCAAAGCACTCGCACTGACCCAGCATGACAAGCTGGTAAGACGAGTAGAAGTTGAACGAACTATTGGTGCCCGTCAGGTCGGCCGGCAGCGTCACTCCATCCAGGGTGACTCGGAAATTAGTGACGGTCAGCCAATTGCGTAAATTGTCGTCCGTTTCTATGCTCACTTCCGTCTGGACACTAGAGGGGAGTTGTGTTGACGGGATGCGGCGCTCCCGCAGATTGTAGAACACGCCATCAGCAAGGCCAGGCTCCGGAATGGCGATACACACCACCACGTTGGGGTTTTCGGGTGTTGGTCGGATGGACAGAGGGTCAGATGAGGGTCGGATGCCGAACCTTGCCAGACAGTCCACTGCGAAGTAAATGTACGGTGAGAACGTTGCACCGAAGTCGGCGGATCGCTCGACGATCATAGCTTGTGGCATGGTGAAGAAGAACTCCATGTTGAACGAGGACAAGACGAACGGTCGCAGCAATGTGGCTTCGAACGTAACCGCTGTGGTCGTGTCCGGAAAAACAGCGGATTGCCACCGAGTTCGCTCCACTAACGGCCTAGTCTCGACATCGGAGATGGAAGGATTGACGGAAAACTCACCCGGTGAGCACGTATCACAGAACACCGGTGATGTGAGAGGCGCTTCGAATGGCTGAGTCCTACCACAATACTGCTCCATGCTACACGTACTGTTGCTGACAAACGAGGCCGGTGCAAGAATCTCTTGGATAACATTCAGCGAGCTAGGCAAGCACTTTATCGGCACGAAAGCTGCATCTCGACATGGCCCGTTCGGAAACGTTGGCAACTGTCCCAGTGCTCCAGAACTCACCAACAGAAGCACGCCCACCAGCAGTGGGCCATAGGGCTTGCTCGTGCTCATATTTTTTCTCTTTCCTAACTTAGAAACTATAGTTCTGGATGTAAAACTTTAGGGTTGGTCGAAACCTGTGAGTAGAAAGACTGGGAGGGAATGATGATTGGCTGGACGGATGTCCACCAACTTTCCGGTCTTCTCAGCTCACACAGTCTTTTCTCTCCTCGCTCCCTCGCTACACTCACTCCCCTCAGCCAAATGACTAAGGATTAAGTGAGAGAGAAAGAGAGACTACCCAAGCAGATGGATCAACACTAGGACATTTGTTGTAGAGACGCGTGGCCCATTCTCTGCGCAGTGAAGAGCTAAAGAGACGGTGTACTTCTCCCCGCGGCTCTCACGCTCACGTAGTCTCGTGTTCTCGACCCAGGGCCGCACGCAGCGTGTCGCGAAGGAGGCATTTGGCTAGTTCCATATGCAAGGTATTTGCCACTCAACGGAGTTCGAGAGGATCTCATTTCTGCTGCAAGTGGTCCTCTTCCTTTCACTCACACTCTCAGTGCTGACTTTGTTATGTAGGACTGAACAACTCCATAAAACTCCATTCTTCTGCCACAGGTACGGGGTCAGCCAATGAATACGGCCTACATAACTACTAAAGCACGTGCCAGACTTGTAGAGTCTTACCAAGACTCAGCAAGAGTATTATTATACCCGTGGTCATACTCAGAGTCCACACGAACATGGTACAGGCACGGTTGGTATGAACGATGAAGCATACACTGCATGGGAATTATACTTTTATACTGTAAATCATGCGTCTGTGCACACGTCCAGTATTACGACATACATGTAGCACGTCTTTACAGCGATACTATGCACTGAGCCTTTCCGTAAATCTACGGTCTTCACGCACATGTACAGTACATACAGTACACATAAGAAGGAAAGAGAAAGAAGTCCAGTTGGAATTTGTCGTAACTTTAAAAGGTTTCACGAAGAGTACAATAAACCTTCTCTTGCATGGTTTCATGCTAAGGCAATCATCAGACAACGTTTCCCGGCAATTTGCCAAACCTTTCTTTGACCTTTCAGGGCTTTCGACCCCACGACCACAATACATGTACATACTCACATTAGTCATGCCTGACTGTGATCATGGAGAGAGCGAGAAAGGGAGAAAGGCAGAGAGTGTGTGTGGGGGGGGGGTATGTGTGTACCGGTATGTGCACGCACAAACACGCATATACACGAACACACGCGCACAAACACACACGCACAAGCACACACACACTCAGACTCAGACATGGCCATCGCGTGAGCGATGATAGCGAACAGCTATGTTAGACATAGCAACTTGTGCTGGGATTACACCATTCAACAGCTTCCAAGGCCGTCGTGGAAATATTCAATGATAGAAATTATGCACCAAAATTGTATGTCTCTGTTGCTGTCGCAGTGCATGAGGTCTACGGAGTGTTCGCTTCCTGATCATGGCCAGTGAGAAGTAAGTGCTACCATCAGCTCCTATCCACAATCAAGTAAAATCATCTCCCACTGGGCCAGTCACGGGGGGCTTGCCGTGTGACTGTGTCAGCTCCAGGTAGTTGTGTTACAGAATTGACGCCTTCACAGACTTCCTAATGGCCGTACATACACAAAATGTGTAATCGGACATGTGCCCAGTAGAATTCTTCGTCTGCTCGCTCAGTGGGTGCTCCATACGGACCATAGCACACTGGGCAGAGCTTCGTTCAATGCACAGAGCAGATAGAACAAGGTGTCTTTAATCGCAACTTGAGTTTAATGCAAAGCGATCCTCAGCATCTTGCTCTCCACACTCTCTAGCACTGCATGTACTCACAACTACAGTACTAGTAGTAGTAGTAGTAGTAGTAGTAAGACGAGGGAGATTTCACAATCATGTATATGTAATGGAAGAAACGACGGGAGGAACTGATAGGGATTACGTCATCGATACTGAATAAGTACAGTGACTAAGAGACTGTGGGGAGAGAGAGAGAGAGTGTGTGTTTGTGTGTGTGTGTGTGAGAGAGAGAGAGTGTGTGTGTTTGTGTGTGTGTGTGTGTGAGAGAGAGAGAGAGTGTGTGTTTGTGTGTGTGTGTGTGTGAGAGAGAGAGTGTGTGTTTGTGTGTGTGTGTGAGAGAGAGAGAGAGAGAGAGTGTGTGTGTGTGTGTGTGTGAGAGAGAGAGAGAGAGAGAGAGAGAGAGTGTGTGTGTGTGTGTGTGTGTGTGTGTGTGTGAGAGAGAGAGAGAGAGAGAGAGAGAGAGAGAGAGAGAGAGAGAGAGAGAGAGAGAGAGAGAGAGAGAGAGAGAGAGAGAGAGAGAGAGAGAGAGAGAGAGAGAGAGAGAGAGAGAGAGAGAGAGAGAGAGAGAGACTGCACAGTCATACACATACCAGCATAGGTTCAGTTACTTTAGCAACCTCAGGGGCCCAGTAACAGTAACTCTTATCCTACAGTCACTGAGTGTATTGTACCTGTACGTCCATTGCAGCCGTGCGCACACACGCAGAACGCACAGTATTCTGAGACTAGCCATACATGTACATAATCGTATGTGGAATCCTTCCTGACTGATGTGTTAGTGTGGAGTTTACCATTAATGTTACGGGTAAAATCATGTGAAGTAATATTTATACTAAAGTCATAACCAGCGGAAAGGCGTTGATGCCGCGCCGCTCATGTAGAGTCAGAAATTTGACCTTTAAACTTTGACAGGAGTCAAGACGGACAAACATGACTTGCACTACAAGTGAAACTGCAAACTTAGCGCCAAGCCAATAGCGGTGTGTGAAGTGTATGGACCAGAGAGAGACATACAGCCCTGAGTCGCAATACAATCAAGCATCTTTTATCGGCTGAAAAGCCTGAAGCCCTTGGATCTGAAGGACCTGTTTCATCACAGTCAAAACCATTAATGATGATTTTGTCCTTGGTTCACATACCCTACAGGGCCTACACACAAGGCTACAGTACAGTCTATGCTTGTAATAATAATTATTATTTTTAAAATTAATCAGGCTCAGCGGTCTTTTGCTGTTATATACTCAGTACATGGCACATGATACACTGTTACATACACGATACATTGTACGCATAGTATGCAGTAGAACTGTGCATTTTTTGAATTTTTTTCATGTATTTCCCCCACGGAATTCTCTGCAAACATGCATGCATGAAGCCATGGTGTCAGAGAGGAGGACAAACGATTAATTTGGAGCTCAATTGGAATTCTTTTTCCTTCAACACTTCTCGGAGAGTACTTGCATGTATGTTTTGAGAGCGAACCCCGTGCAGATCAGAGAGGTGCATCGTTGGTTGTTAATACATGTATCCACAACACTATGCACTTGAAGTAGCACCTACACAACATTGCACTAGCACTTACAGTACACCTACTGTGCATATGTGGCTGCGCTGTTGCACTCAGTCAGGTACTTGTGGGCACATGCCGGTGATAGCAAAAGTTATTGTATTGTATTTGTATTGTATTGTATTTATTTAAAAGGATTCTCCAAAAGCAAATGGATGCTTATCACGGAAGTCTCCCACATAAATATCGCAAGAAAAATGGGGAAATGGGGGAGAGGAGAGTGGAAGATGAAGCATGGGATGAAGGGAAACAAGTACCTAAATATCGAGGTATAAAAGCAGGAAAGAAATCGACGAGGGAAGAAATCACCTCTGCAGATAATAGCGGGACATTTAGATGAAAAAAACCCAGCAAGGATTAATTTTAAGGAAAAAAAATTCTCAAACGGAAAAGTTCGGAATTCCAGTCAGAGAATATCTATGCTGTGAGTAATGAGCCTTTAGAGCAATGCGAAAATTGACAGAGGACTGAACGCAGCGGATGTGTTCTGGAAGTTTGTTCCATTCCACAGATAAACTGAAGAGAGAGGATTTAAGGAAATGGGCGCCAGAACGAGGTAAAACTATAGAGGACGGGTGACGACAACTAAGGGATACATTGAATTTGAAACGAATTAGCAAAGACGGAAACTGGTAAAAGACATGATGAAAATACAGCAAGGACAGAATCTGACGACGCCACTTCAGGGATGACCAGTCACAAGTACGATTAAGAATCTGCTTCGGGGTTTCCCACTCAGGAGGGTGCCGGGTCTTACAAAGCAGATATGAACGAGCAGCAACGGCTTGCAGTCGGTCTAACGTAAGCGAATCTGAATGGGATACGGCGAATGACCAGACAGGGACTGCGTATTCTAACAGTGGTCGTACGTAACACTTGTAGAGCAAATTCACGGTTGAAGCAGAAAGGAAATGGGCCATATGGCGCAACAGAAAAACACGACTGCGAAACTTATGGGTGATAGATTTTATATGGTCAGAAAAATTTAGTGAAGGAGTGATAGTCACGCCGAGATGACAGTGGCTATCACCTTTCTGAATAGGCACACCGTTCATTGTCAAGGGGGATGACGGGCCGGGGGCTAATGCATATTTTTGAAAGGGTAGGTGGACGCATTTACTGGTGTTAAACGTCATGGCAGTAGCTGATGACCATTGACAACACTTATCAATGTCAGTCTGGAGCAATGCATGATGGATAGGAAGTGAGGTGTTTGCTGGAGAAACAAGAATTAAATTAGAGTCATCAGCAAAAAGGGATAGGGTACTAGAAGCAGGGGCATCAGGAAAGGAGTTGATGCACAGGTTAAAAAGAAGCGGGCCGAGATGGGAACCTTGGGGTACGCCAGCTGTGATGGGCAAAGGGTCAGAAAGAGTTTGGCCAATGCGAACGCAAATACTACGATCACTGATGAAGTCCTTCACCCAAGAACAGGCAGAAAGAGAACACCAACCTGAAACAGATTGAATAACTAAATGATGACTAACTCTGTCAAAGGCCTTAGAAAAATCAAGGAACAGCTGGTCACAAGAAGACTTAGAGTCAAATGCACGCGAAACAATTGAGGTAAGCTGTACCAATTGGTCAACTGTTGACCTCTTTCGACAAAAGCCAAACTGGCTGGAACTGATAATTTTATGGCTCTCAACAAACGAGTAAAACTGACGGCTAATCATAGACTCATACAATTTGGCAACTGCATTTAACAGCGATATAGGACGGTAATTGACTGGGTGAGAAGGATTACCTTTTCCCTTGAACACAGGTACAACAACGGCAGATTTCCACTCCCTGGGCTGAGTACTGGACAGCAAGCAGCGGTTGAAAAGGGCGGAAAGAGACTGTGACGTGACCTCAGCTGTTTCACGGAGGATGCGATTGTTCAGCAGTCCAGCGGTTTTACGTTGAATGGGAAGTCTGGATAGCGTGTCAAATACGGACTGCACAGAGAATGGTTGTAT